GAGAGATGCTGTCGGTTCTCTGCACTTAACTCGGGCTGTAGGGGGGCTGCATGGCTGGTAATCACAGGAATCGATTCGGAGACATCAGGCGCGTCTGCCTTTCGAATCTAGAGCTCCGAACTCTGTCTGCTGCCCGAACTAGGTCCGCGAAACTATTCGCATTGTTCGAGTCATCCTGAGAGGTGCTGTCGGTTTCCTGCACTTAACTCGGGATGTAGGGGGGGCAGCAGGGCTGGTAATCACAGGAATAGATTCAGAGACATCAGACGCGTCCGCCTGTCGCATGCAGAGGCTTGAACTCGGTCTGATACTCGAGCTAGATTTGCCAAACTATTCAGTCATCTTGAGAGGTGCTGTCGATTTACGCACGTAACTGGGGCTGTAGGAGAGCTACAGAGCTCGTACAGAAGACAATCCAGAAGCATCGGGGGCGTTCGGCTGTTGCATCCGAGAGGTCTGAAATTGCTTGGGCTGAAAAACTATTTTTTCTTTGTAATTTTTTTCGACATTATATGTTGTCAGGAAGCTCTACGAGTTCCCCGGCGGTAAGAAAGGTTGACGGTTTACCGCCGGCGCCCAGTTCCGGGGCGCTGCAGAGCTAGTTGGCAAGAAAAATCTCGACGGACATTTTGAGGAATTTTGGTCGTTTGAAAATTTGGTTCTCAAAATTTGAACATTCGTTCGAGCTCTAGTATTTTTTCCCGTGATATTCGATCTTATTCCCGCTCGCCATCTTGATCTCAGCTCGATCGGGTACCTTTTACTGTCAAAAAGCGTCCAGGCGGGATCGGCCGTTTCGAGTCATCTTGATACGCGGTGACGGTTTTCTCAGGATAACTCGAGCTTTAGGACAGCTACAGAGCTGGTAAGCACATCTAATCGATTCAGAATGTTCAGGCGCGTTCGCCTGTTGAATCCAGAGGTCTGAACTCGGTCTGCTAGCCGAGCTAGGTCCGCAAACCTATTCGTATGATTCGAGTCATCTTGACAGACGCTCTCGGTTTTCTGTACTTAACTCGAGCTACAGGACAGCTACAGAGCTGATACGTATAGAATCTGATTCAGAATCATCAGTGGCAGTTGTCTGTTGAATCCAGAGCTCTGAACTCGGTCTGCTGCCCGATCTAGAATCGCGAAACTATTTGTAGTGTTCGAGTCATCTTGATAGGTGCTGTCGGTTCTCTGCACTTAACTCGGGCTCTAGGGGGGCTGCATGGCTGGTAATCACAGGAATCGATTCGGAGACATCAGGCGCGTCCGCCTGTCGAATCCAGAGCTCCGAACTCTGTCTGCTGCCCGAACCAGGTTCGCGAAACTATTCGTATTCTTCAAGTCATCCTGAGAGGTGCTGTCGGTTTCCTGCACTTAACTCGGGCTGTAGGGGGGGCTGCAGGGCTGGTAATCACAGGAATCGATTCAGAGACATCAGACGCGTCCGCCTGTCGCATGCAGAGGTCTGAACTCGGTCTGATACTCGAGCTAGGTTTGCCAAACTATTCGTATTGTTCGAGTCATCTTGAGAGGTGCTCTCGATTTACGCACGTAACTGGGGCTGTAGGAGAGCTACAGAGCTCGTACAGAAGACAATCCAGAAGTATCGGGGGTGTTCGGCTGTTGCATCCGAGAGGTCTGAAATTGCTTGGGCTGAAAAACTATTTTTTCTTTGTATTTTTTTTCGACATTATGTGTTGTCAGGAAGCTCTACGAGTCCCCCGGCGGTAAGGAAGGTTCACGGTTTACCGCCGGCGCCCAGTGACAATTCATTTTCAGAAACCAGATTTTTCTCACGTGTAGTGGGTTATGCCGCGTCTGCCAGTTAAATTTTCAGGTCTGTAGCTGCAATATTATTATCGGAAGACTTGCAGGAACCGCTTTTGAATGGAAGCGAAAAATCATGATATTTCCAGTTTTCCTGCTCTTGCTGCAGAAGCTTCCTTCATGTGTTCCGATGTGTGCTGTGCAAGGAAAGAGCTCTACGAGGTGCCCGGCGGTAGCCTGGTTGACGGTTCACCGCCGGTTCCCAGTTCCGGGGCGCTGGAGAGCTAGTTGGCAAGAAAAATCCCGACAGATCTTTTGCTGACTTTTGGTCGGTTGAAAATAACTCGTAGAGCTTCCCTTAGCTAGTTGCTGGAAGCTTAAGAGTAAATACGGCGCGCTGGAGAGCTAGTTGGCAAGAAAAATCTCGACGGACCTTTTGCTGACTTTTGGTCGGTTGAAAATTTTGTTCTCGAAATTCAACCATTCGTTTGAGCTCTAGTAACTCGTAGAGCTTCCCTTAGCTAGTTGCTGGAAGCTTAAGAGTAATTCTGGCGCGCTGGAGAGCTAGTTGGCAAGAAAAATCTCGACAGACCTTTTGCTGACTTTTGGTCGGTTGAAAATTTTGTTCTCGAAATTCAACAATTCGTTTGAGCTCTAGTATTTTTTCCCATCATCTTCGATCTAAATCCCGCTCGCCATCTTGATCTCAGCTCGATCGGGTAAATATTTCTGCAAAAAACATCGCGGCGGGATCGGCTGTTTCGAGTCATCTTGATACGCGTTGTCGGTATTTTGTATTTAACTCGAGCTGTAGGGCAGCTACAGAGCTCATTTTCACAGAAATCGATTGCGAATCATCAGGCGCGTTCGTCTGTTCCATCTAGAGGTCTGAACTCGGTCTGCTGCCCGAGCTAGGTTCGCGAAGCCATTCGTTTTCTTGGAGTCATCTTGAGAGGTGCTTGATGCCTCCTGAAGGGTTGCGTTTGTGGCATCTCTATCATCGGGCTGTTTTGGGGGCAGGATGAGGGGCAGGGAAAGGGGGAAGGGAAGGGGGTCAGGGAAAGGGGTCAGGGAAAGGGGTCAGGGAGGGGGGGCAGGGAAGGGGGTCAGGGAGGAGGGGGTCAGGGGAGGGGGTCGGGGAGGGGGGGCAGGGGAGGGGGTCAGGGAGGAGGGTGTCAGGGGGGAGGGGGTCAGGGAGGAGAGGGCATTAGGGAGGGGGCCAGGGAAGGGGGCATGGGGGCAGGGCAATGGGGGCAGAGAAGGGGGCAGGGATGGGCCACAGGAACAGGAGACAGGGGAAGGTGGTCACGGAAGAGGGGTAAGGCATAATGTTGCGCACCTTTGCGACTGAATCTTGTCGGCCGAGGTGGTTGCCCCGATGGTTGTCCCGATGGTTGTGTCGATGGTCACCCCGATGGTAGCAATGCGAGTAGTTCCCTTGATTTGAAAGTTAACGACGAGTCGGGTATGGTTCAGGATTAAGGCTCATCGGCAGATGGGGTTCATCTTGATCTATTCCCCCCCTCTCTTTTGCGCTGGCCCCCGTGGCATCGCCGCTTTGGGCTCGAATTCTGCTTGCCCGCCGGCGTTCGCGGGCTTGGATGGACCCACTTGATGTGCTCCTGGGCCTCGGGATACCAAGCGAGGACCGCGCTGGCCCTGCCCCAGCCAGGTCTGCGAGCGTGGCTGCGGCCCTCGCTGCCGACCGAGCGGCTCGCGAGTCTCGCTGGGCGACCGTTTCGGGGAGCGCCGTTGCTGACGTTGCAGGGCCGCCGAGCGGCGTTGCCGATCGCCTGAGGGCCGTCCAGCGCCGAGAGGAGATCTGCAAGCGGGCTCGGCTGCAGAAGCAGCTGAAGGCAGCGAAGTCCGAGGTTTCCGAGGCGCGGGCATTCGTGCGCCCGCTGCAGCACTCCTGGAACGCAGCGCAGACGAACTTCGGCGACCAGGTGGTTGTTGATGAAGGTGCTGCAGCGCGGCACCCGCGTCAGTTCACGCTGCACGGTGCTCTGAAAACGGCTTTCGCACAACACGGTGACTCGTATTCGACCCGCGTCGTTGGCTTGCGGTCTCTGGCGGCCTCGTGTTTCCTGCAGCAACAGCAAGAGAAGGCGACGCGGCTCCTGTCAGATTCATCATCTGGGTATTGTTTCGTCGAGCGGGCCTACGACGACACACCAGTCCACATGTGTTTTGGACAGCTATCAGAGCAGATACGGCCTTTCGCAAAGTACACTATTCCCCATCGTCTTCGCCACCGTTTCAGGGGACGCACGTTGTGCGATTACCAGGATATTTTACGTGTTGGCCAGTCCTCGCAACACGGCGTCGTTGACATATTCAGCCACATGTGCGTCGTAGAATGTGATCCAGGCGATCGGGGGAGGAACAGGAGAGGGAGAGGAGGACAGGGGGCGGGGGCCACCATGATTTCGCACTCGCCAGCGGGAACCCGATCGAGAGGATATTTGTTTTTGGGTGCGTTTGGCGCGTGCGTTTGTAAAACCATTCCCCCGACTGCGTATGGGGGCTCCTCCTCGTCGTGATCCTCCTCATCGTGGTGGTGTTTCTCTTCCTCCTCATTGTGATCCTCCTCCTTTCCCCCTCCTTCATTCCTTCCTCCTTCCTCTTCCTCCATCCCCGACTGGGTCAGAGGATTAATGGAGTCGAGGGGGAAGTTGTTCTTCTCTCTTTGGAGGGGGAGGGCGAATCCCCCCGTTGCAGCCTCGCCGCAGGCGAGGGCGCCGAATTGGTGATTCCACCCGTGGTACTTCTTGGGAAGACCGCCGGCCACATCTTCCGCGCTGTCCAGAGCGCCTTGTCCGGCCTGCTCAGCTTCGAAGCTTTGGAGGCCCTCGGCAAGGACCGACGTTCGGACGGACGGAGGGGGAGGAGTCGGGAGGAGGAAGGAGGAGGTGGAAGGGAGGCCGGCAACAGAGAAAGCAGAAGGACGGGCGGGAAAGCAGAGGAAGGAGGAGGAACAGGAGTGGCAGGAGTTGGTTTTGGTCGTGGACTGCGCTGACAGCGCTTCGGGCAACCGCAAGTCTATACTGTATGGCGTTCTCACTTCTGGTGTTTCCACGTGCTGCTGGGGCAATCGCTGTTTAGTCCACCAGCTCTTCCGAGGTGGGGCCAGGGGGGGACTTCCGCAGACTCTCCAACTCCAACTCGCCCATCCCACCTCTTCAAGGTCCTCGCCACCTCCCTCATCGAACTCCACGTTCTTGGGGGTCTGGGGGCTGGAGGTGTCATCGTCATTCTGGACCGGCGCCATCTGATCCCAGATTACAGCGCACTGGGGTCCGTGCTGCGGATATCAGGCCGGGTTGACACTTTCAAGAGAGCCATCGCAACTGTGTGCCAGTCGTTGGACTTCAGGTTGGGCGTGGCTCCGCCAGGCGAAGCCGAGGCTCACCGCGCCGCAGATCGGCGTTTGCTCGATTGCCTCCTCTTGCAGCGCGCGCTTCGCAAGGAGTTCTCGAGCCCGTTTGAGGGCGCGAAGGACCAGCGCGTCACAGAGAGGGCGAGCATGTTGTTCGACCACCTCCAGGCGCCGTTTTCCTTCCTCCTTCCTTCTCCCTTTGGCCCCGACGGCGACGGCAGCGTCCGCCGCAGGCGCCGTGGGGCAAGGGCGACATCATCCACTATTGCGTTGCAGGCTGCAGGTGTGGCAGATCGCGAGAGAGGGCGATCTCGTATCTCATTGAGCTGCTGTACTGGCTCTTCATCACCATGATGCCAACGTGCACGGGCTTCTCCAGGTGGCCCCCCCTCCCAGCTCACCCCTCCCTTCGCCCGCTTCGACGGTCGACGATCGCGGCGACTTTCGATCCGCGGTTGACGACCAGACGACGGCGACAACGACGGCGAGCGACGACGATGATTGCGAGCGATCGCCTGCGACGATCGACGTCGACGACGCCGAGCGACGAATAGGGCGAGCGAAGACGTCGACTCGACTACGAGTGACGACGACGACGGTCGTCTTCAACGACCGTCGATGACGGCCGTCGTCAGCGCCGACCGCCAGCGATGACGACGACGAGCGAGATGGAAGGTGGTCTGTTCTGGGGCCCTTCTGCTCATGGCTCGGCATGGCGCTCGTGCCGCACGACATCTTTCGACGTGCATGGGCGCTCGCGTTCAGCAGGGAGAACGCCGTGGATCACATCCCAGAGGGGGGCGAGGAGTCTTTCGCTCAACAGATGAGCAGGAAAGTCCACCGCGTCACCAAGTATCTTGCTGACCAAGAGAAGGTGACGTACACTCTCCTGCTTGCCTTGAGCTCCAAGCCCTTGGACGACCTGATCGTGGACATCATCCGGCGTGATGGGAACGGTCGGGTGCTCGCAGATTTGTCGTCGCCGACAAACATCAGTCCCGTTCGGAAGTGCCAGCGCGAGTTCGTGCAGACCCTCACCAGCGGCATGGCCTTTTCGCTCGTGTCGGAATATTTCGTTTTGGACGCTGCTAGCATGCGTAGACACATGGGGGATTGCAGGACTTGCGTAATTGAGTTATCGTCGGCTGTGCATTGGAGAGTTGACTTTTACTTGAAGCAGTTCCCGTTCCAGTTGATCAAGACCGTTCACCCGCGCCCTGCCCGCCGTGGTTCTATAGATGCGCCTGCCGCTGTTGCCGATCGCTTGTTCTCCGTGGGCGAATGCTGCTTGGACATTGGGTTCTCGCTCAAAGTACGTCGCAAGTACGGCACCGCTCAGGCGGCGTTGGCCAGCCAGGCGCTGAGGGGCTGTTTGACATCCTGGATGAACCTGGGCAGGGTCTCGGTCGCCCACGTGGAGGGCAGCCACGCCACGAACAAAAACTCTATATATGCGGGCCACAATAAAAAGCGGAACATTGAAGGGGCAGTCCATCGGTGCACGATGCGGACCTTGATGAGATCTCATGTCTTTCGAGGCAGAGTGGATTATAGCAAGCCGAAAGCAGATGCCGCATTTGCGAAGAGACGCTTCGGTCTGCAGACTTCCTCCACAGCTCGCCGGAGACGTAGTCGCACTGGCAGGCGCGTGGTGGTCACGATTGCAAAAAGGAAGTCTCGTCTTGGAGGGGTTCGACCACGGGGTAACAGATGTTGGGCTTATGTGTCGGCCAAGTCCCGCTTAGCTCGGATGGCCAGAGGTGGCCAATCATGGGGCCGCCGTCAGGAGCGAGCTGCCCGAGCACAGTGGATGGCGGAGTATCGCGGCATGTCTGTGGCTCAACGCGATGACTTCCACCAGTTGCATGACCGCTTGGAGAACGAGGGCGCTGCAGACCAGCATCTCGACGACGGCGAGGCTGACTTGCTGGATATCGTCCGAGAGGCCCGCTGCTCGCGAAGCGGCTCCCGCGTCGAGGACTACGGCGTCGAGCAGCTCTCGCGGCGGCTTCTCCCATTTGATTTCGGCGACGAGTTCTGGCCAGTCGACGCCGCGAAGTTCCAGGCGCACCTGGAGGTTTTGGCGCAGAAGTTCGGGATCGAAGAGTGGAGAGGCGGCTTGGGCCTCTTGGGCGAGAAACGGAGGGGTGAGATCCGTTGCGACATGTGCGTCGATGCGGACCCTCGCTTGGCCCCCGCTCTGAGAGTGAAGCTGCCGTGCTGGGAGGAGCATCCAGGACTTTGCCGAAGGGGCGACGCCCCCCATTTTGCGTGGGCGATGCGCTTGGCCAGGTCAATACATGCGGAGCTGGGTGCATCTGTTGACATGGGGTGCTTCGTGAGCTTCCACGCTGACAGGTACTCCTCGCCGCCCTTGTGCTTGGGCCTTCGCCGTTATCGGATGCCGCCCTTGCTGGTCTTTGCGAGATGCAGTTTCGTCGATGCTGATTCTGATGAAGAGGGGGATGGCGACGTCCACGGTCCGAAGTACATCCAAGTCGACACTCAGAGAGGCGAGCTCGCGTTCCACACGAGTTACCGTGCTGCTCGGGCGTTGGCAATTGCTGGAGGCGCCGACGCCAATGCTCACATGGTGATGTTCGTCACAGAGAACGTTGAGTACAGCCCGACTCGCGTTCGCATCGTGGACCGCAAGTACTGCGATTTAGGTGGCGGCTGGGCGAATCGGAGCTGGGGGAGGGGGGGAAATGGGAGAGGAGGAGCAGGAGGAGGAGCAGGAGGAGGAGGAGGAGGAGGAGGGGGAGGAGGGGGAGGAAGGAGGAGGAGGAGGAGGAGGAGGAGAAGGAGGAGGAGGAGGAGTAGGACTGAGTAGGAGGGTGGAGGAGGAGGAAGAGGGGCGAGGAGGATCGGGAGAGGAGGAGGAGAAGGAGGAGGAGGAGACAGAGGTGGGCAAGGCGGAGGATCGGGACCTCTTTCTTGCATCGCCGCCTCTGCGCCCCAAGGTTGCGGCGCGCCGCCAGCGGCTGGCGGCGGCGGCCCTGCCGGCGGCGCAGGCGGCGGCCCCCCCGGCGGCGCGGGCGGCGGCGCCGATTTGCTCGACGCGATCGCCGCTGCAGAGGCATGGCCTTCTCATCTTCCGAATCGCCCCCTTTCTCCTCCCCCCTCCTCTTTTGCCTTCTCATCCTCCTCATCGCCATCATCTTCTACCCCCTCGTTCCCCCCCCCTCCTTCAATCTCTGGTCGCCCTCGTCGCCCCTCTCAACTTTTGCCTCAGGCCAACTACGGCTCTTCGTCGTCGTCTTCGTCCTCCTTCTCCCATCCCCCTTTCCTCTTCAACGTCCGTCCTCTCCCCCTTCCCCCGCGTCCAAGCTGTTTCGATCCTTGGCGGAGTCTGGAGGCCGCGCCGGCGCCGCCGCCCGACCCTGGCGCTGACGGCGGCGCTCATGCGGCTGGCGTCGGCGCCGACGGCGTCGGCCACGTGGACGGGGCGTCGGCGGACGGCCCCGACTCCGAATGCGAGGGTGGGATCATCTTGGTGGAGGAGGCCCAGTTGGATAGCGATTCCGTGATCTTCGGCGAGCCGCTGGCGCCTGCGGCCGAGCCAGCGGCCCCGCCGCCGCTGGAGGAGGCGCCCGCGGCCGAGCCAGCGGCCCCGCCGCCGCCGGAGGAGACGCCCGCGCCCGAGCCAGCAGCCCCGCCGCTGGAGGAGGCGCCCGCGCCCGCGCCAGCGGCCCCGCCGGAGGAGGGGGGGCCCGCGCCCGAGCCGGCGGCCCCTGCAGCGGCCCCCGCCGAGGCGGAGAGGCGAGTCGGCCCTGACGGCTACCCGCGCCTCCCTGGCCCATGCGGCTACATTCGTCTGTCGCTCAACAAGGACGGCTCGCAGGACATGCGAGCTGTCTGTGAGCTGTGCCAGCTAACGCTCAGCAGGACTTGCCGCCCCCCCCCGCCCTGGGCGAAGCGAGGCACGAAGCTTTTTGGCCAGGGGCGCCCAGTGGGGAAGCTCTGGGCTTTCCTGGAGTACGGGGGCGGCTTGCCAGCCGCCCACACGCGAGACGATCACAAAGTGTTCGTCCTCGTTGGCCCAGGCGACCTTGAAGTTCGCAACGGGGCCAGGGCCAGGGCTCGCGCTCAGGTAGGATCATCTTTGTGGTTTGATGCCGAGCGCGAGCCCAATGACGGGGACGTGCCGCCTCTGTTCGAGCCAGCGTTGGTGCCTTGACAACGCGGAGCGGGGCTCCGAAGATTCGATGCGCCTTCTTCCTTTCACGCTCGTCCTTTTCCTCACCCTTTCCACCCCTTTTGCCGCCCCCCCCCGCCCTCCCTTCGCGGGCCCCGCGCCCCCCCCCCCCCCTCGATGGCGCAAGTCGTTTCAAGAGGGGGGGGGGGGGCGGCGTGAGTCCTGGGGGGTCGTGGGGGGAGAACCAGGGGCATAAGGGCGCGCGAGCCCTGAGTTAAGTCAACGGGCCTCGAGCGGGCGGGTTGACGCCGACCGTCGCTGATGGGCCCTTGAATCCTTGTGCAGCTAGCGTTTGAGTGCGTCTGTGGGCCCCGTGGGCGCGGTGCGCCACCCTTGGCTGAGCTTGAAATACGTGGCCGCCTGTGGCCCTTGTGGGGCATGGAGCTCGGGATCTTTCTGCGCGCGCGTCTTGAACGTGCTGTTTTTTCCAGTTTTCCAGTCCATGGGGTTTGGCCGAATCCACTGCAGAAGCTTGAATGAATTCAGCGCGTGCCAATGCGGCGCGGGGATCTGGGCCGCCCGACAAATGTCCCGAGGGGCCCTTGAACATGCGATCTGGTTTTCGATGGGTGCCCCTGGGGGAGACGAGGCAGGCGGGGGACGAGGAGGAGGAGAAGGAGGAGGAGGGGAAGGAGCAGGAGGGGGAGGAGGAGGAGGAGGAAGAGGGGGGGGGGGGGGAGATGGAGGAGGGGAGGGGAGGAGGAGGAGGAGGAGGAGGAGGAGGAGGAGGGAGGTGGAGGAGGAGGAGGTTAGGGGAGGAGGAGGAGGAGGAGGAGGAGGAGGAGGAGGAGGAGGAGGAGGAGGAGGAGGAGGAGGAGGAGGGCACTTCTGCCCAGCCACAGGTGCACCCCCTGTTCTCTGGTTGTCATCGATCGTTTTGGTCAGGGCCAGTCCCCGGGTGACGATGTCAGAGAGAGGGAGAGAGAGAAAGAGAGAGAGAGAGAGAGAGAGAGAGAGAGAGAGAGAGAGAGAGAGAGAGAGAGAGAGAGAGGAGAGAGAGAGAGAGAGAGAGAGAGAGAAAAAAAAGAGATAGAGAGATAGGGAGAGAGAACTATAGAACGAAAGAATGAGAGAGAGAGAGAGTGAGAGAGAGAGAGAGAGAGAGAGAGAGAGAACACAAAATGAGAGAGAGAGATAGATACAGAGAACGAGAGAGATAGAGCGAGAGAGAGAGAGAGAGA